GAATATACTGCTGAATGTATAGCTGCTTAGTCAGAATGTCAACAATTGCAGCTTTGATAGTAGCAGCAGGGTGAATCTTATAAGGTAAAGTTGTTTGATTAGCAGTAGTAATAAAGTGAGTCTAAAAAGGCAATGTTATTTGATAGTGGTGTCACATGACACATCTAATTGATATGTTTAAATAATTATGGTATTACAGAGATTAAAATTATAATAATACATGATGTCAAAGTAAGTGTTCAAAATGATAATGAATGATATAATAATTAAATTAAAAATATAATTATGTATACATATATTAAATTAACAGACGGTAGTCGTACTGCTGGTATTTTTAGAATAGTTAGAGTGGCTATTAGTACTACTGACTGCTGGGAGCTGCAATTGATCTATGTGAGCCGGATTAGAGGCAACTAGCGAGAAAGAGTCGTCATTGTTATTCTGTGCCTGCTGAGAAGCACTGAGATACGTAACGGCACCAGCCCCATAATCATGAGGAGCGTCACTTGATGACTGTTGGTTGGAACTTGAGTATCCTTGATCTTGACGAGGTAATCCCGATGAATGTCTGGAGAATGGAACGGCAATGTTTAGGTTCCTTGGCTGGGCTCCTTTTGATTTGGGGGGAAGGGCATAAGGTGGAGCCTTTATCTTACTGTACACCACTCTCTCTTGTAATTTATTGTGAGGTTTTCTACCAGCTGCTTGTTTACCGCCAACTTGAATATCAGCATAATGAGATTCTTTACCACTTGGTTGTGTCTAGTCAGTAAAATAATAAAATAAAATTGAAAGTTCTCCAACATTACAATACTATGCTTATACTACTGCCCTTAGGCATATACACAATCTCATCAAATACTAGAAGGATTCTCCATTTCTATTACATTTTCTGATGCATATACATGTTCTTATGTTGCATAGAAAGTTTAAGCTGATTCCGATCAAGTTTGGATTTTTAAAGAATTTTTAAAGTTGCTCCAAAATTGGGCCAAAGTCCCTGTACCATATAGTACAGGGTCATCGGCCAAATTTCACCAAAAATGACTAGGAGAGAATTCTCCACTTTTATTACATTTTCTGATACATATACATGTATTTATGTTGCGTAGAAAGTTTGAGCTGATTCCGATCAAGTTTGGATTTTTTACGAATTTTTAAAGTTGCTCCAAAATCGGGCCAAAGTCCCTGTACTATAGTACAGGTTCGTCAGCCAAATTTCACCAAAAATGACTAGGAGAGAATTCTCCATTTTTATTACATTTTCTGATACATATACATGTTTATATGTTGCGTAGAAAGTTTGAGCTGATTCCGATCAAGTTGGATTTTTTACGAATTTTTAAAGTTGCTCAAAAGTATGTACATATATGTACACTATTTTACGTTGTGCCTACAGTGTATTTTTGAAACTGCTCAAACTAAAATTAACAGTAACAATGCTACAAATGTACATGTACATGTAGATTACCTCATTAGATGTGGTTTCTCTTTGTGTCGGAAAATGTGATTGACTTCCATGAGGTACTACATAGTGAGATGAATAGGGCGGAGGGTCTTGTTCTGTCACTGTACAATCAGTGAGGTAACTACCCTATCATCATTATTATTATTATTATGCATGTACTGTAAATGGTCTATTAATCAGACTCACTGTAGTTTTCTCTGATAATGCAGTGGAATCTGTTGCCTAAAGAAATGTTTAAAATTTATTTGTCAAATTTAATTTAAGTGACAGTGTCAAACAATAATTGATACAGTCATTATAATTTAGCATCAAGAGGGTTAATGAATGATAACTATCACCTAGACCAAGTGCCAAAATTAATGGAGTAATTCTATTATTATTATTGTATGGCAGTAAAATAAAATCAAAAATAGAAGAGCATATTTATTTTGATCATTCTAGTTATTCTGATACCTTCATTCCTAGACATGTCGATATACGTAAATTATGATGCATACTTAAATGGTGCATTTTATAATAATTGGTCTCTAACAAAAGAATGACCATGATGGACAGTACAAAGGACATGCCTTCAGCTGTTGTTGCTAAAACAAGCTGAGGTCACATAGCAATGGATGTTTTAATTTGGTCAAACTAATAAAATCAGGTATTCAAAGTATGCAAGGGATTCAGACTATGCCACAACAAAGCACCCATTTATATTGGCCACTTCCCTATTTGTCTTGCTTCTCTTAATGTCTGAATGTAATAACAAGTTGACATAGCTACCAATTACTACAGTCTGGAGGACAGGAGAGTTATGATGGCAATACCTGTGTATCCGCTCCAGTATCTGTTGCAGGTACCTCTGTCAATCTTACTCCAGTCCACTAAACAATAAGGAATATGATTGTTACTAGCTATTATTTATAAAGCGTTGTTTACTGGTTGTTCTGTGGTGCTTGTTGTTGGATAGTCGCTTGGTTCATTGTAGTCAGTCCATGATGATGGACGCCAAGAAGCTATGATGTTGCAATATAAATTAGTAAATAAACTAGTGAGATAATACCATTATATTTCCTGCCCTTTCTACGTTTCCATGTCACTGTGAGGACTATAATAACAACAATCAAAGCAATTGCAATCAGTAGCAAAACAACCACAGTGACACCTGCAATGACTCCAGTGTTATTTCTTGCTGCCGGCCTGGTATTATCTGATCATTGGCAGATGAAAAACAAAGATCAAAGAAATAGAAATTTAGCTTTCAATTTATAATTCAAACTAACTTGTAGTGCCAACTGTACTGGACACTGTTGGATAAAGTGAACTAGAAGATACATATTTGGTAGAAGCTAGAGTAAATGAAACAGATCAATAATGAACATGTATGTGTGATATTTACCAGTGGATACTATTGATGTGGTTATAGTGCTAGAGCTACTAATGTGTGGTGTAGCTGGATATGTAGATGAGTGTGATTGTGATGTGTGTGGTAGAGCAATGGTAACAGCCGCTTCTTTCCTCCATTTCTCAGGAATAGATCCATCAGTGTTCCAGTCAAAAACTCTCACTTGATGCACCCCATCAGCTAACGTCACACAGGTTGTATTAGTATGATTTCTAGTGACATTCCACTGCCTTGTTGATGTCTTTATTACAAATCCAAGTGCTTCTGATCCACTGGTATATGACACATTTACACAGACCCCAGACTCATTTGGAGTTATTGTCACACTGTTCAGATCAAAAGTCCCTTTAAAAGAGATGATAACTTGATGAATTGTATGACGACAGTAAACTCACAGAGGTTAAATTCCCTTGTTTTGACTGTCAGACCTTGTTCTGTCTCAAAAACAAGCTGTCCAACATAACCACCATCACTCAATAGCTCATCAACGCTGTATGAATCACTGAGAACACTCCCTGTCAACATTCCATTGTGATTCAGAGTCTGATTAGAATGAGTCATAACACTGTTGCTATACATATTCCTCGTCACTGCGTGGACTCTGTCTGGTATTTGCTCGGTACAATTATACCTAATCTGTTGTTAAAGTGTTAATAATGGGCATATTCACACTCAATTAATCATTCATTACTTCATATGACACTTCAATGGCAAAGCTCTCATTGTTTATGGTTCCTGTATCATTTATATAATAAACATCTGGAACTAGAAATTTAAAATTAAAATAAACAACAATCAAAACATTGACATTACATCACTGTAGTGACTATACCTCCAACATGTGTGTAATTCAATGATACTGACTGTCCTTCTCCTACAGCATTAACTGCTACAATAATTGCATTATAGTACTGACAGGGAGTCCCATTTAAGTCGAGTGTTGTTAAACTTGAATTGGTTGTAAACAGAGGGAGGTTGTTATTGTTGATGGTGATCATGTAGTGTGATATTGGCACACCTGACAATGTGAATGGAGGCGTCCATGACAGTCTCTGATGGATAACATCATAATCGAGATCAATAACTGGGCCTAACAAACCTGGGGGAGAGGATTAAAGGCATCAAAGAAAAGATGAAAGGGAGAGGAGAATATGAAAATGATAGTAAAATAAAAGGGATATATTTATACAGTTGAACACATGTTAGTCCTACTCAGCCAATACCTTGAATTCTTAGGATAACAGTATCAGAGGGAACAGCCTGTGGTGCGTATACTGTTGATGTAATGGGAGTGTTATCAAGCTCTGTAGAGCTAGTGGCAAGCGTGAGGTTAGAACGAGTTCTGTCCCCACTCAGTGCTTCTTGTACTACTGATATTCCATTAAAGTTGTAGCTACTAGGATACACGACATTGTTGACAGCCCAAACAACATTTGCTGAGCTACCACAAACGACTACACTGAATTGAGCAGGCGTCCCTTGACTGACGTTGAGAGAGGAGGGCTCCACAACATAAGGACAGCAACGGACAAGGGACAAGAGAGAGAGGAGAAACACTGCCTCCAACATTCTTGTTTAGAAATACCAAGTGGCAAGTGTTCAGTGAGTAAAAATTGCAAATTAGATCATAAGCCACGCCTTATCCTGCAATGACGCGAGCCCCACCCATCAACTTGCAATTAATTGTGCAATAATAAAGACAAAGACACTTTGGTTCATATAAATAGTAAAGTTACAACATAAGTGAAACTACAGGATAAACTATGAAGGAGGAAAAGGCAGCTGAGGGAATGAGCTATTCCTAGTTGGTCCCTAAAAATAAAATACTTTGAAATAAAGCAAAGATTTAGTAAGCATACTGGAGGTCCAAATGAAAATTGATCAGGAGCTGGAACATTAGGAGTGGTTGGTTGACTTGCAGGATGTGGAGATAAAGTAATTTCATTATTAATGGGAGAAAGTGGAAGACTGATAGAAGCTGGTCTCTTTCTTGGCTTATGAGTGGTATGTTGAACAACGAATGATGAAACAGTAACATTGTTATTTTCAATCACAGCCTCTTGTTCAATGACAGGAAGCAACTCAACCTCAGCCTCATTTATAAAGCAATCTTCCAGGATGGTATCAAGATGTCCTCTAAGTTGATATGATGCGGGCTGGCAAGGCTAGTAATGAATCATAAGAATATAATAATATATTTAATGTTATTATGAGTCTTACAGGTTCACCAGATGAAAGCAATCCACTCTCAGCCATTTCAGGAACAAGTTGTACTTGAGATCGACCACAACTTTGCAATTGAAACTCTAGATCAATAATGAGGTAAAAGTATTAAAGAATTTATTATAATTTACTTTTTGTAACAATTAAATACACACTGACAGAAACTGCAAGTACAGCACAGACAAGAAGGAATATTGTTATACCAATGGATACAATAAGTTTATAATCATGAGAAGGACCTACATAGAATGTATATAATGAAGAAAAGAAACAAAAAATAATATCATACCTGAAGTGGGTGATTCAGTGTTGGGCGATCCTATAGAAGTAAAGTATAAAATGAAAATAAAGAAACATTAATATACCTGAAGTGGCCAAAGTGGGTGATTCAGTGGTTGGTGATGCTAGTGAAGTAGACAAAGTATAATAAGATGAATGTGAATATCAGACTAACTTTTAATAGGTATGGTAAGAACACCAGTGAGAGCTGGCTTGGAAGATAACTTGAAAGGCTCTCCATTACTCAAGCTAAATGCATATGCTTCCCAGTGATAGGATTCATTGCTGGTAAGAGTATTCACAGCATAGCATTCAGTTGTGATCAAGTTATCCCTCTTAGCAGATGTTTTTAGTTTCAAAATTACATCAGTACTGACATGCAACTCAACAATGCATCCATCAGCTAATGATCCATTTGTAAACGTGCACTCAAGACAAACACTTCCATTGTCAGCAGATTTTAAGTGAACCAACTGGAGGTCAAAGGTGCCTAATAAAAAAACACATTAGAATGCTGACAGTGCATCTGAGATGCACAACAGGGAATTCCCCTGGTAAGCCCCCCTTATAAATTAAATGCTTACTCAGCTTGTCAAGTTTAGTTTTGACACACTCAGCAACATTGCAGTAGTAAATATCACCAGATAGTACAGCATTCTTCATCACAGAGATATTTTTCTCATGAAACGTCGTCTCACCAGGAGGGACGGAGAACTCGTATTGTTTAATGTGCCCACTGGAGAAGTTTATAAACATATGAACTGTGTCAGGATAGCATCCAGGACATAATGGCTTATCCTATGGTGCAAAATAAAGAAATACTAATCATGTACGTATGCACATACTGCAGTGTTCAGGAGTATGGTCATGAGATTCATTATGGCATCATTTCCACGATTAACAATAATGACACTGACAACAGTAGCAGCAATCTGTGTTGCTAATATTATAAAAAAACGAAACAAGTAACAAATGCAACATCAAATAAACAAACATACCATTTGGAATAAACACGGTACAGTTTGATGCAGCCCCTATACTTCCAGCATTAAATGAAGTGACAGTAATATTGTATGCCTTGTACTTATCTAAAGAGGTAACGTTCGACACTGTTACATTGACTTTGCTGTTGTCGGTAGTAAAAGCTTCCGAGAGATCATACGGCTCAATAAAATAACTGGTTTTCACTCCAAGCAATGTATATGGTTCAGTGAAACTGATGTGAAATTGATCTTGAATGAAGAAGTGACAAGATAAATCAGTAACAGGACCGGGTGGACCTAAATCATGTAGTATAAAATGAGTAGATTTGGTAGTACTATGCTTTAATACCTTGCACTCTAACTGTTGTTACTCCAGAGTAAACAAAATCGCCTCCATTTCGATCATTAGCAAAGAATTGGATAGTGTCTTTATCATTTTCAAGGGTGATGTTGGAGATTGTGTAGAGTCCTTCAATATAAGGCGAAATCTCCCCAGTTTGATTAGATTTGTTGGGTTCAAACTGGCTGAATGATGGAGAACTCGCTGGAATAATCGTCCCAGAGTCGTTAAGAAAAATTGCTGTACAGTTGACAGTGATCACCGTGAGGTTGAGAGTAGAGCCAAAAGACACGTTATAAGTAGCATTGGGCTCGTGGATGAATTCTACACAAAAAAAAACAGACAGTCATGTTTAAGTTCTTTGCACTTACGGCATGAAGAAGACGTAACATCTCTTGTAGATCCTATCAGAATGATAACAGGGCTGTTACTGTCTATTGGACGGACACGGAGACTGGAAGTGATGGAAACAGCAAGCAAGAAACACAACACTTTCGTGAAAAACTCCATGATGCAACAAATAAATTTATTAATTGTAGGCTAAGTGTTTATAAGCAAAAGACTATGAATAATAATTAGTCTAAAATCAATAATTAATCATTATCTTCTTCTCCTCCTCCTCCTCCTATCATAAAACTAACACCAGTGCTAGTGTCTGTGGATGGGGGAACATCTCCCTCGAGATCTCCAGAATCCTAAAAATAAAAAAATAATAAAGCTGCCAAAATTTAGCAGTAAACAAAATTTATGGTTAGATATTTATGCTAAATAAATTATATTAAAACTCTCTATCTTACATGTAGTCTTTCAGAGTGGATAGTCGAAAGCTCATCGTCCTGTGACAGTTGTTGATATCCTGACCCTCCAGAATGAAAAGATAAATGGGATGCAATGCTCAAAACTTTTTGTGAAATTCTATAAAATTGTTAATGAAGAAACAGTCAACATATGAAATGAAATAATTCACTTTGAGGCAATTCGAGGGAGCGATTTATTGGATTTATTAGATTCTTGAGAACGCTGACGCTATATATATATATATATATAAAGCAAAAAATAAATCACATCAAACAGCATAATATGTTATAACCTGAATTACTCTAAGTCCAGAAGCACTAGCTCTTGTGAAACTGGCACGAAACAGTAAAAAGAGTGCTTTAAACATTCACAACTTACGGTTGATTAGTAGCAAAATGAAGCTAGGAAAAAAGAACAATGAATTATCATTAGTGCTAGTAGTATTCCTACCTTTCCTTGGTCAGTGGATTCTCGATGTGTAGGAGAGCATGGCTGAGTCTCACTGCTTTAGAAATAATAATAAAATAATAATTTATTTTGTAATATTTACCTCTCTTGTATAGGGTGCCGTGGCTATAAAATAAAGACAAAAATTACAAAATGATAGTAATAGATCTAATTGATTCAGTACTTGAGGTGGTGATACTGTGACTACAAGATCTTCTGATTCATCATTGCAAACATCTTAAAGTAGAATAAGATTTTTAACAAAACTATCACTAAATACCTCTATCGTCAAATCGATCATCCATTTTTAATGCTAATAAAAAACTAACTATAAAAATAGAAAATAAAGATACTAATTACCTGTACCAACAGGTTCATTATTTTGAACATGAGCTGATGAGCCTAAGAAAGAACCATTAACTATAGCAATCTTAAATAATCATACCATCAAAAACGATAGACTCCTCTATAATAACTGAAAAAATAAACAGAATATTATTACATATTGCACATTATATTTAAAAATTATACCTTTTCTTTTGAATCTAGATATGCATGCATTTAATCGTTTTTTCTTCACAAACAACTTAATCAGGACACCTATTACTACTAACAGTGCAACTATCACAACAACCGATACTATGACAGCAACAAGAGCTAAAAACATAAAACATAAAATTACACTACATCCGTTATCAATACTTTAAGCACTCACTCATCGTGTGACTCTTTTCTCCAACTCCTACAACATAACATGTGGAAAAGTAGAAGTATTAGCTATATAATGTCAATGGTTACACATACGACATGGTTATATTGCAAATGACTATTAATATATTTAATATAATAGCTCAACAAAAGATAACTAGCATTTAATGTACATTATTACAAGCAGACACACACCTCCAGCACCAGGTGAAGTACATGTTGATCCATTTACAGATACATTCATAAACCCTATCACATGCTTCCTATCTTTACTGCTCAAGATATAATACATCATGACATTGTAACTAGTCCCAGGGCAAAGACTAGTCACACAACCTTCTGTGACATCCTTTGCATTCCTTTGAGTTGTATTAAAAGCATTGTTATTAACACTGATACCACAGCCCCATACAATAGAGTGCTCCCTATAGTAACAAGTGTAGTGTAAGCCATTAGAAACTGGGAATATCTTCATGTACAATTGGCTTGTATCTAAAATGGGAAGGATAATAATAAATCATAATATACATGTATAAACTAACTGAAAGTAAAAGTGTATTCTGTAGTAGATGAATTAAGGTTGTACCACACTGCTTTAGCTGTACAGTGAAGCATGTCAACAGGAACTTCTTTATAATTATACACAATGAGACCATTCACTGATAGAATGGAACTAGTTATGGTGTGGTAATAGGTATCATCACATGACAGAGAAAGATTAATGTGTGTTGGAAGTGAGTATATGCAATGAGTGAACACCTAAAGTGAGTAGAGGTACAACAGTATCTCACATAAAGTTCACTTGTGTATACAATCATTAGGTTTCCCACAACTATGCTCTTTTAAAGCCAAGGTCTGTGCAACTTTAAAAATTCGTAAAAAATCCAAATTTGATCGGAATCAGCTCAAACTTTCTACGCAACATAAGTACATGTATATGCATCAGAAAATGTAATAAAAATGGAGAATTCTCTCCTAGTCATTTTTGGCGAAATTTGGCCAATGACCCTGTACTATAGTACAGGGACTTTGGCCTGATTTCGGAGCAACTTTAAAAATTCTTAAAAAATCTAAATTTGATCGGAATCAGCTCAAACTTTCTACACAACATAAGTACATGTATATGCATCAGAAAATGTAATAAAAATGGAGAAATCTCTCCTACTCATTTTTGGCAAAATTTGGCCAATGATAGTACAGGGACTTAGGCCTGATTTTGGAGCAACTTTAAAAATTCGTAAAAATCCAAATTTGATCGGAATCAGCTCAAACTTTCTACGCAACATAAGTACATGTATATGCATCAGAAAATGTAATAAAAATGGAGAATTCTCTCCTAGTCATTTTTGGCGAAATTTGGCCGATGACCCTGTACTATAGTACAGGGATTTTGGCCCGATTTTGGAGAAACTTTAAAAATTCGTAAAAAATCCAAACTTGATCAGAATTAGCTCAAACTTTCTACACAACATTAGTACATGTATATGCATCAGAAAATGTAGTAAAAATAAAGAATTCTCTCCTAGTCATTTTTGGTGAAATTTGGCTGATGACCCTGTACTATAGTACAGGGACTTTGGCCTGATTTTGGAGCAACTGTAAAAAATCCAAACTTGATCGGAATTAGCTCAAACTTTCTACACAACATAAGCACATGTATATGCATCAGAAAATGTAATAAAAATGGCAAATTCTCTCCTAGTCATTTTTGGCGAAATTTGGTCCGAGAACATGTACTATGCCAAAATACATGCCAAGCTGAACATTATGCCAATAAAACATTGATTGAATTACGTAACATACACTGTACCTTAGCAGTAATGCTCAGACATGCAGTGAGAGATGTACTATTGATCTGTATTAACTCAACAGTGTGATTCACCATGCTAACAACAGGAGCTAAGAACAGAAAAAATAATTATAACAAAACAACAAAGTTTATATAACTAATTATATCAGTAAAACCACAAAGAGTATATTATTGACAATAATGCTATAGGTATGTTGATGTCACTAGCATGAATATCATTACTAAAATTAATGTCAAAATATTAACTGACCAATAGCAGTAGTAATGAGAGTAGAATTCCAACTAGTACCAATATCATTAGTGGCTCCTACAGACACAGACATACTTTGATTAGCTGGCAGCTCAGTAAAATTGTGGTAAGTCTTGTTGGTAATGATGGTAGTATCATTAAACCTTATTTCATAAAATTTAATTAGACAAGCGGGTGGAGAGGGAGGAGTTAACCAAAAGAGATAGACTTCATTACAATAGACAGCAGAGTAAATTAAAAATGACCCCGGGGGATCTGTAAAAATAAATAAAAAATTAATGAAAAATAAAATTAAGAGAACATTGGAGTACATGTACATGTACATGCATTAAGCTTACCCTTATCAACTGATACAGTGAAGTTATTTGAAAGAAAACAGGACGGGTATTTATCAACCCTGACATGAAGCGAGCTGTTATAATATTCTTCAGCAGTGACATTATCGGTCAAAGTTAGAGAAATATGACAAATGTTAGTTCCATTGTATAAAAAAGGTTTGGGATTCTGTGTTGAGCGTTTTATCTCTTGAGTATGCAAATGAATGAGCTCAATTTGATATTCGTAGCTGGCACAAGTTGCATTCGTGAAATTAAAAGATATAGTAAGAATTGAATTGTTGCACGTCCTAATATCTGGTATAAAACTAATTAGATTAGAAATGTCACACGATTCTAAAATGATAAAATAAGAAAATTAGTAGATAAATTTGTAACAAAACTTCAAAACATGTAAAAGTAAACACAGATTACTAATCAGTTTCATTTTAAACTACATCTGTAATTAGACCTACATGCATTTAATCATGTTATGTACATGCAATTGTCTCCACTCACGATTAGTATTAAAAAGAAGGATTAAAAGAAGTGCAGCTGCTAACAAGCTCCACTCCATTGTAAAGATATCGAGAGATTTACTCTGCTTAATATCTCAATGGAGAAAACATAGATAGTCAAGGGGTTCGCAACAGGCTTGTAATCTCGTAGAATCTCCTTGGTAATCCAAAAGTAGATAATCTTGGAAAATCCCTCGGAAAATCCAGTGATACTCTAGATCTGATCTTGGAAGAACCACGCCTTCAACTATCAATTAATAACAATAATAATTTGAATAGTTATAATAATAATAATTTGAATACCTAGTTACTGAGCATGCGCGTTAACAATTAACCACGTGATTTCACGTGGAATGCATAAAACAATAACATAAAGCAGGGATATAATACCTATACTTTGAATAGTAGATATGATCTCAGACTCAAAACAATAAGGATGTTAGTTGTAAGTCATTTGTATCATCTGTTTAATATTCTATAATATTACATACATTTAACATGACGTAGGACGTAGTTTTGTTCCTGACTTCCTGTTCCTTCTGTAACATATAAAATGCTCATTCAAGTAGATACAGTGAGTCATTGATTAATTTTTAGCTCTTTGAAGTAAAATTTTAATTTTTTGCATTTTAAACATAACACCTACTATTAATAATTATTCTGAAAGGCCGGGATTCCCAAAACCTTATCTTATGAATTCAGTTGCCGCGAATTTTTCATTTTCATTAATGCTAAGATTAGTTCTTGCTTCTCCATTTATCTTCTTGTCATGTTATTAGTGTCATTATCATATCAGATGGCTATTACGTAACATATGGTAAATACATTTTGAATTTGTTATAAATGATCTCATTGACCACAGCTATTAGTTTAATCATAATATTATTAGTAACAAATACATGTATGTTTAATAATAACAAAAAACAATTAAATAATAAAAATAAATAAAAAAACAATACTTTATATAAATCTTCATTGTACTACTTTGCGACTGGTAATAGGAATCGTCCCATATTCATCGAGTAGTGGCTCACGAAACTCAGAATACTGTACTATAGTTGGAGCAGTCTCACTCTCATTCTCATCTTCATCATACTCATCACTGTTAATTGATAACATTATGTTTGTCATCGATTCTGTCTTCTTGAACCGTGACTTGATTCTATTTGCATATTTGATCGTTATTTCCTTTAGCTTTGGAAATCGTATGAAGAGATGGATTATTATGATGACCAGAAAAGCAATATAAGCACTTATGAGCAGCATATAAACTATGACTTTGTAGGCTACAGGGTAGTTGAATTGGTCCGCTGAGGAATCTCTATAGCGCTCAAAGAAAATATTACTGACAAAGAGTAACATTAGATTGAGCATGAAGAAGGAATCAAATGAATTCTGCCAGTATCCGTCAAAAGGTGCCACTCGCTCGTGAGTGAACCAAAGGAGAGATGTAAATATCACCATGACTAGTACATTAGTTGGATATGAGCTAAACAGTGCAAGGCTGAATGGTACGAATCGAAGCAGTGCTCTTATGCTCAACCAGAATCTAAACTGAGGCTTGAATGGGTTCCAGAATGCATCGTAGATCGGTTTGAATTTGTTTGTGAATCTTGAGCCATATAATATTCTTGGGAATAAGAAAAGAATAGAGAAAGGAATTATGTAAATGAGGAGGAGCATGACAGAAAGCACAATTAGTACTACATGAAGCCCAGAACCAAAAGGGATTGTTGGATCCAAGTTCCACCTAACTCGAGAGAAATTTCCATAGACACTCGTATACTTTGTCGACGCCATTGCTTCGATACATGTACCGGCAATATTGAAGTAACAAAGCAATATTAGCGTTGCAAATGTCTTGCTGGCTGAGAATTTTAGGTTTGGGAATTTTCTGATCTTTTTGCCAAGGAGTACAATAAATCCCATTATTACGAATAGATAGAGTGGGAATAGGAATCTCAATCCAATGCGATGGACTGATGTCATGCCATCAAAGAAGCAAGACTCTATTCCTAAATTAAGATTAATCCAGGCTGCTGGACTAAACACTGGATCGTATGGGTATCTTGGATATAAATAAACAAAGAAATAATTCAACGAATTGCAGTAGAAAACGAATCCATTTAGATACCCTTCGGCTATAGTGACACCAAGTAATGATATGCCTAGTACTATTATTATTCCGGCTATGGCAAAACCCAGTATCCATAAGAGCCCAATGTTTGAGCACTCCAAGCATCTTGAAGTACCAAATACAGCACTAGTGTTAGCCTCACATTTACCACAAGCTAAACCGGTCCTCCTGTAATCTTTATTGCACTGGAAATCAAGGTCAAAAACATTAATAGCCATTGAAGAGGGCTTGCAGTAGTCATAGAAGCAATTTGAATACACAAGGATGCTTTGCTGGTCATCAAAATAGCCAAACCAATGATTATCAGGTATCACTAGTACTTCTTCACTAGCATTACATGCCACACCTTTAGCTTCTAGCTCTGGAATGCAAACACAGGCCAATGCAGAGTTATCATAGACAAATCCAGGCCCACAATAGCTAGTATTGACAGTGATGATAGTCTGGGCACCAGAAGTAATGGAGAATAGTTCAACCAGTGCTGATCTATTCTCATGGCCTGTCACATCAATTGGTACAGAGGTGCCATTAAAGTCGGCAGAATTAATGAAATAAAAGACTGCTTTGCCAAGTGTTGTTGAAACACTGTCTGGTTGTGCTGATATTGATTGAATGGCGGCTGAAGTAGGGTACCCAAATCCATCGAATGCTTTTGCCTGAAGTCTGATCCTTTGTCCAGGACTAGCAGAAAAGCCTGTTTTAGAAAAATTTAAAGTAGCGGCTTGAGTGCTTACAACAGAGGCATTAGTCAGTGGTGGATCAAAATGAAACTTGTTTGGAAAATTATATGAGAGTTGATGCAACGCTGAGTCTTGTTTTGGTGCCACTCCATCAGTGAGTGAGGAGTACCAAGGGCAAGAATTAAGAGTAGAGCCAAATATAGTCCCTCCAGACTTTGCCGAATTACCTGTAAATGATATGTTAATGTTCATGGAAGAAATGTCTGGACAGATCGAGTAATTGCAGAACAGATCCAAGTAACTAAAATAAAGGAAGCAACTGTCATCAGCAAATGGATTGGCACTAAATAAGGATGGAGCATAGAAGAAAATGGCCCCACCTTCAACAGTAGCAGAGTTATTTGAGAATAGCAGTTCACTGTCGTTTCCAATGATGAGATACGACTGACTGATGAGGCGAATGGCTCCACCATAAACACCTTTATTGCCAATAAAACTGGAACTGCCATTAAAATGGATCAAACTTGAGTAAGCAACAAGGGGCACCCCAGTGTTATTAGTAAAAGTACACTTTCCATTCAATAAAAGATCAACAGAGAGTAATAATATTTGTCCCGAGCTCTCAACAATCTGGTTTGAAATGCCATTATTAGTTGTTAGCACGGTATTGTTTGCAATTGTCACATCTTCAAAAATAAACTTGAAGCTTGGATTAAACCCAGAAAACTCAGTGGCACTTGCACAGGCCACAGTACCAACAGAGCCTTGATTATCAATAAAACTTGTATTTGTGAAACGAAATACATTTAAATTGTCACTAGTGACCAGAGTTGAATGATAGGAGCGGATTGATAGAGCATTGCAAGAGTATGCTTGATTTTTAGAAAACAGAGAATTAATCATGTGAACTTGAGCTGGGAACTCCGATACTCCAGACAGGCAAAGGTTTCTGAGCGTCTCGTTTGGAAAGTAGAGATTATTGTAGATCGTTAATCCACCGTTCTGAGAATGCAGACCAAAAGGCAAATCACTTTCATTGCTATAGCCATTGTTTGTGAAACTACAGTTATCAAATTGTATGTTAGACATATCCACTCCTTCCAAAATCCCAATGCTAACCCCAGCACTGTATAGACCAGTATTGTTAGTGAATATTGTTGACTCAATGCTTATATTAACCGAGTAATGTAACTGAGCTAGAGCTATTCCCATTCCAGCAGCAGATCCAACTACATAACCAACCCTATTGGCTGTGACCGACTGGCCATAGAAAGTAGCTAATGCATTGAAAGTAGAGCAAATTCTGTTTCTGTGAAATAAGGACTCACTTATCTTTAGCTCACTGTGCATAGTGCTCCTTAATATTCCTTCATTTTCCTTGTAGTCAGTGTATAGTAGAAACAATCCACCTCCAATAGTTAGATCTGAAGTTAGGTTAGTGATTGATTCGTATTGACACAGTGATGCGTTATTCTCGGCGAACTCAAGATTCAAAAAACTTGATGCACCACCAATGTTGATACCTAAAACTCCTAGTCCAGTAGTGTTTGTAAATAGTGTGTTTTCTATGCTCACATCATACGACTCTGCTATAATCAAGCCATACTGAAGTTGACTGGGTATGCGGAAGAATAGCTCTAAATCGTTCTTGATAATGGAGACTGTATTCTCAAGACCTTTTCCTGATATCCCACAGTTACTGATAGCAATATTAGTCAGCTCTAAGACATCTACATTCACAAATGCCAGACCAGCAGGCTGCTCTGTGTTGTTGATGCAGCTTATAACATACTCATTCCTGTTGCTAGATAAACCTCTGATAGTAAAGTTGCTTACTTTATTTATCAGGAAAAAACCACTCAGGAGGTAGCTTCCTCGCTCAGTGAGTACTAGTATTTCATCGTTGAGGCTGCCATTTCTTATCAATTCTGTGAGAGTGTTGTTCAGAGTATCACTGCAATCGCTACTGTTAGCTACTGGGCCCTTGCCCTCACTGTCTATATCAGGGCACACAAGTCTAGAGTTGCACTGGTTGCTGTTAATGACAAGAAAGAACAGAATAAGAGTAGCAGCGGCTTCTTGCCTCATCATTTTTACAAGATACCGCCCCTGCAAACTTGCTCTGCATCTGATCTGATCTGCACCAAGACAGCTCAGCAATTGCTAAACCACAATGGGTGTGTCACACCAGTTGATTTCCTGTATTCATAACCAGAACTGCATACAACATTTTTATGCTCCACTGACTCTCCTGTAAGCTCTGTTGCATGCAACAAATAATGCCTAGCTCTAGTGTGTGTGTGTTGGGCTTACAAAAAATGAAACTGTTATTGTAGTCACACGACCTTGTGATCAGTGCTAATTTATTTAAAGCGTGTGGCTTTGTTTGCTTGTACTTGTATTACAGTTTTCAGTGTATACATGTTCAATTGACAAAGAGACTCTCAGCTACATCTGTGTACTTCATTTATTATCCAATGTATGAAAAGCACTTAGCCAAAGTCCCCTCTAAAATTTGTGTAGAGAACATAACTTTTTATTGTAGGAAAGTTGTAGACTACACATTTTAGTTGTGATCTGTCGCAGTGACTACTAATAATGCAAACAAGTACCTCAAAAGGTGATTGACTTTGTATTATTAAAAATAAAAGTACACACAATGAATAATAGCAAAGAATGACTAATCACTAAAGCAAGGTAACATATAGTATAACTATCTAAAAATGGAACTAGTCTATCACTACTTGTTCAGGTAATATAGTTTGAAAGTTCTGATTGTCTGGAAAGCAAAATCACCCTGTTGTTAAAGAATCATAAAATTTAAAGTGCTACTCTTGTTGACTTACGATTATGGAGCTAATTGAAATTGACGCAATGAATAGCAACATCTTTAGTGTGATCACAATAATCATCAGGGGCAGGAAAACTGTAACAGTGCTGAATCATAGTTTCAGAACCATCACAAATCACCATATACATTACTATTGGATAAGTGCTATTGTAATAGCCAAAGTTATCAATGAATTTTGGATGGAATTCCATAGCTGTAGCATATCCAAGTTGCTTACAAGCAATAACTGCTGCATTTGTGCTAAAACCATCATTACAGACAGTACCCCAAGTACTATTAAAATATACTTCCAAGCGACCAATTGCTGATTCATCTGGAATAACTTCCCCTCCAACTAGACGAATGTTTTCTAGATATAAGTACAAAAGGAATGTATCTACTAATGTTAATTAGATCAACATACTTTGGCATACTACACCAGCAGCTTCAGAATTCCCACAAAAACGTTCATCACCAAGAGTGTTCTTACAAGAAAAAGGGCTGTCCTCATTACCAAGGCAGTCTAAAATATTCATTACTATTTGACCAGTTCCCTCCCCAAAATGAGCTTTTTTATGTACTGACACCGCAAGACCAGGAAAACCCAGATACCGGCATATGACATCACCATCCAACTTATCAAACCGAATATCGCATATAGTTCCCCACTGTCCATTCCAGAAAACTTCAACTGTTCCTTCATGTGGTGCACCTCCATTAACTAGTCGCATTACTCTTTCTATCAACAGAAAACATTAATTAATTCTTTATTAAATTTTATGACAGTTACCTGGGCAATATTCAATATTGATATGCTGTATATCATAGTATGACATTCTGTTTACTTGACCATAGACTTTAAAACCTTCTTTTTTTGATTTTATTGTGTCATTCCCATCTTTACTAAATGTTTTAGGGCCAAAATGTGTCACTGAAAGATAATCATATGGCACGGATAGAGTTTCGGCAGCAGGTTGAATGAGAAAGTTATTTTCAAAGCCACTTTCTATAAGAAATACATTATATAAGTTTTGTGCACCATTATGTCACTTGCCTATGTTTTCAGTTAGTATCTCAATATATTCATCTCTGTCAGGCCGTGATTGTTCATGAAATCTTCCAAGTGCATGGATTATCATTTCTGCAGGAACAGCAAGATTGCAACCACTTGATAATGAGATTTTCTGAGGTCTAGCATAAGCTCCTGGTAGTCTACCAATATATGACCAGCAACTGGCATAGAGATGTAAGTAGTTATAATTTTAATGTTAAAAGCTTACCCTCCATCATCAACAAATTCAATGTAATAAGGAGGATGTATATTATACTTTTCAAGAAATCGTAGACATGTGAATCTTTCTATCTGTCTCATTGAAGTCTTCAAAGCTTCTTCTTCTTCTTCAGCTGTAAAAGAAAATATTTGATGAAAGTGTTGACATTAATTACCCAATCCATTGATTGTGTACACGATTGTTCTAGACCATTTAGTATTGTGTGCAGGATTGCGATACCATGCTTGTGAATTAACTAATTCCTTCCATCCACCACGATTGAATATTGCAGCCTGCTCTGGAGTCAGTCTGATGTCTCCCTCTATAATATCAGTAGGTCTCTTCAAAGGTGTAGTAACTGTTGGTGCAGCATCTGATAATTTATCTGTTACTTCCAAAAATCAGTTGCAATAGAATGTACTCACTGTCACGATCCAGTTCACTTGAAAATTTATCACCTTTGTCATTGTTATGTTTCTTCAAACCTGTCCTAACTGTTGGTCTATCTGATAATTTATCTGCCACTCCAATAAATCACGAAATGTAATGGAATATACTTACTAGATCTATCATGATCCAATTCACTTGTAAGTTTGTCATCTTCTGCTGTTGGTGAAGCTTTATCTACTCCAGACAGTAGAATATTGTTGCTATATGGCTACAATACTCACAGTCATCAATGTCACTCTTAAATTCATCATCCTTGTTGTCTTCTTTCTTGTTCTTCTTAAGATAATCACCATGATCCTTGATATGGTATTCATCTTTTGATTTATTATCTTTGAAAGGATCTAGATAATTATCATAAGTAATTATTGCTGCTTTGAAAGACACCACAGTGCATGCTATCATTTACCATTATTAGCATTAGGCCTAGGCTCAGGGTCAAACCAACTCCTCTTTAAAGCTAAAATGTATTTGAGCACTTTAGTATGTGATAGAATTTCTTACCTGCAGGGCTAGAGTACACTTGAATGGTTGCAAGTAAAAGGACAAAGAGAGTTATCCTGTTCATGGTTATGCACACTTATAGAGACAGAGAGCTGGCCTAAATGAATTTCCTGCAAAGTGATTGACACTTTATACTCTTCTTTATACAGGAAGCAGTAATTGTTTGGCTTTGTATTCAATTGACAAAGAATTTTAATGACTGGACAGAATGATTAGCTTACTCTTGAAGTGTATGCAATAGATAGAACTATGATCATTTGAGTAGTTCAATAATGCTACATTGTGTACCTGATGCTGTGCTATGTGTTTGTGTTGAGATTATTTATTTGCTGCCCAGTTTCATCTATACATTAAGTATTGTACAAAAGTTCAACAAAAGAAGTGTGCATGAAGCTAAAATTTACCATGTTACAATATTCTATATCAATTTCAGCCAGCACTAAAGTAGGAGAAAGCAGTAACAAGTCCATGATTATAATGAAAATAGACTCTATATGTTTAATGTATCAATAGTTGTAGAAACCAGCAGTAACTGGCTATCACTAGTAATTGGAGCAGGAGGTGGAAGATGTGTTGGTGTCATTTGTATATGTTGTACCATTATAGTTTGTTTTTGGTAAACATTATTTATATGATTATGTGTTATGAGTATCATTAAATGCAATAGTTGTAGGAGGAGGAGTAGGAGAAAAAACAAATTGTAAAAGAGCTCAACAAAAGAAGTGCAAAGATAAAATTTGTTTGATGCAATATGAAAATATATCTGCATGGGATAATTAGAACTACATGTAACTGTAGTTAGTGGCGATGTGTTTGATTGCATTCCTTAGTCTAGGAGTATAATTACATTTATTATCTTGTCTGTGTTATCTCATGGTTTCAGAGGACTTAAAATGTCATACGAGAGTGATGTGTCTTTTTAGCATATAAGATGAGATGCTATGAGAATGTGAGTGCTGGCTACTGGCTAGCAGACAGGCAGACAGGATTACTGTGCTTAGAGAGAGAGAGAGCTAACAATGCCTCATGTTGACACCCAAACACTGATTAGCATGCATTATATCAGGAGTCCTGATTATATACAAACATGATTTATGAATATTTATGAGTTCTGATGTGATGTCATAATGAGTCAGCTCACTATACCGTATAGCCAAAAAATTTCGTGAGGAATAAATTTTCGTATTTTCGTGATTACTGCTTGCATCACGAAAAATTAAACCCCCGAAAATAAATATTAATTGAGAGGCGTGGTTAACCACGCCTTAGACTAATAAACGTGCCCTCGTGTCAAGTCGTGTTCTCGGTCAAGCTGATGTCTCTGTTACTCTGTATTGCTATTTTAAGCATACTGCCTAGGTCAAAGATGATCTTCCCCATCTCTGGTGTCCACACTGATTTGTAGACATGGTGCCCCTTGACACAAGAGTCCGTCTCAAACCATGTTTTAATTAAATAAGGCGTGGTCATTATTATTATTATTATTAAAATAAAATCACGAAAATATTTATCACGGAATTTAAAATTTCTCCATAAATTTCATTATTCACGAAATTTTAAGCCTCGAAAATTTTTGGCTATACGGTATACATCTTAATTGCATTTCACACCTGTGTTGATATGTCACCATTACATTGTTTGCAATGATTCAAGTTGATTGTGAGACTTACAAAGTGACAGTATTAATTGCTTATAAACTTGTTAAAATACAAATCTATAGTTTGAATTTGAGTGCAACATGACAACCAATAACACTATGAGAACAATTATCACAAAAGTGTAATGCAATGTTGCATGCCAATGGTATCAATGGACTGAAACTTTGCATGAAGTTTTAAATTGCTAATTACATACCATGGGGAGTTATCTGATTGGTCCATTACAACTGTATATACTAATGTATTCTAAATTGAATGGCGACATTATGACTCTGTCATTGAAGAGATTCTTCTTTAATTTTGAATTATTATTTTTTTATATAAACAAGTAAATGACAATTCTTTAAATCTTTTTAAAATTTAGTCTAATGACTTAAATTTAATTCTCATAATTGTGGCTCTCTGATCCAAAATATTTAACTAACTAGATTGCTGAAGTCACGATCATAAAAAGTCTTAATAAGCTATGATATTTGCCAACACCTAATTGTTTGAATAGTTCGGTGAAGCTACATCTGCTGTGTATAATACCTTGCTATTAGTTGTGGTTAGCGGCGATATGTTTGATTGCATTCCTTAGTCTAGCAGTTAATTACATTCACATGTTATATCCTGGTTTCAGAGGACCTAAAATGTCAAATGATTACATTCCTTAGTCTAGGAGTATAATTACACTCGTTATCTTGTCTGTGTTATCTCATGGTTTCAGAGGACTTAAAATATCAAATCAGAGCGATGTGTCTTAATTGCATTCCACACCTGTGTTGATACCATACTCATTACTAATTAGCCTTTGATTTAGTTGTCATAATTGTGGCTCTCTGATGTGAAATATTTAACTAACAAGATTGCTGAAGCCACCATCATAAAAAGTCTTAATAAACTATGACATCTGCCAACACCTAATATTTTGAATAGTTCAATGAAATTGAATAGTGTATCTGTAGTGTAATACAGTATAGCAATCTGTGATTTGATAATATTGTTTTCTTAACTTGATTTAATTACAAAAATGACTATACTTGCATTTAGCTGTGGCTAGCAGCGATATATTTGATTGCATTCTTTAGTCTAGGAGTATAATTACATTAATTCACATGTTATATCATTGTTTCAGAGGACATTCTTAGTCTAGCAGTATGATTACATTCATTATCTTGTCTGTGTTATCTCATGGTTTCAGAGGACTTAAAATGTAACATCAGAGTGATTGCATTCCACACCTGTGTGGATGCCATACTCATTATGTTGTTCATAAATCCAAAATATTATCATTTAAGATTTATGAAAAGCATCCATAGGCCTAGATATAGGTTTGGGTGGATTGAAGTTGACAGTTTTAGTTTTTAAAGTTTTTTTTAGTTTTCCCACAATGTTTAAGATTATTAAAATTTAAAACACATGCACATGCTACAATAGTCATATCCCATGATCAACAGGTCTCATTTACTTGTCTCTGTCAGTTTATATCTACTTGTATAGTAGGGCTATAAGCTTTGGCAATCATGTAATGTCCTTTACAACTCTTAATATCAAGTAATGTTTAGTTTTGTTACAGTGAAACTAGTTGTCCTATATCTGTTACAATAATGATGGCTCACTTAGGCTTTTATGGGTAAGCCTAAAGCCTCATCCATTAATACTTATGAATGATTGCTTAAGCCCCGTTTACACTACAAACCAGTTTGGATCAAAGCGGTTCAGAAACCAGCTTAATTGTGTCCACACGTAACTGTGGTTGAATTGGTTTACAATGCTACAATACATTGCATACATGATATGCAGCTGCTTCAGTACTTGAACCGGTTTGATTATCTCCTGAGGTGATTAGAGATAAGTCGGTTTAAACTGCATTGAAATTGTCCACACGTAAACTGGTTTATTTCTAAACCGGTTCCAAACCGCTTTAAGGGCATAGTGTAAACGGGGCTTTATTAGATGCACCAATGAATACATTCTATAGTCACTAGGCAAATTAACTTTTCTCAATTATTATGTTTAATCAGGGATTATTTATTTAATCAGGGAAACCAGGGATTTATATCCCTGGTTTAATGTATAGCTGTAATGATTTCTATTATTGTATCTGCACAAGCCCTTTAATAAATTTGCATGTAAAAATGGCTCAACTTTCTGTATATATGTAGCAACTAGACTGCTGTATAGTCTATTACTTTATTTAATACAGGTAGTTTACAGCATAAGGAAGGCACATTTTTAGTTGAAAAGATAATGATTGTTGCTATTAATGATATTTAGAATGAACACATTTAAAACTGCTTCTCTTGTCACAAATAATTATGTTAGTATGATGATGAAAAAGTAATGATTTTATTTAAAAAAATAATAAACTGGTCACTAAAAATAACTAACAGCTAAAATTTATCACTACTCTTTCTTTTTTTTAAAAGTATCTGTTTATTATTCCATGGATACTGACCATGATTGTTCTGACCTAATAAAATGTGTAAAATTGTTATATTGAACAAGATTTATGAGCTTACAAATGACTTCGCCCATCAGATGACACAGAAGAGACTAATGGCATCGGAGCGACGACAGTCGTGTTCACCAATAGGAGTACTGGGGCAATGTGTAATCTGTGCCTCATAACCCTCGCACAACACATCATCCATCAAAATTGGGCGTTTGTTCTTACCATACTCTGTTGTAGTTTTATATTCCAAAGCTCTTGTATATCCCATTTGACGACAGGCGACATTGGCAGCTCTTATATTAAAATCATCATCACAGACAGCTCCCCAGCGACCTTCAACATACACTTCCAAAAGACCATAGGCAAATAAAGGAGTAACTCTACCACCTTGAAGTCGTGCATTTTCTATTTAAAAAAACATCAATAATGATGTAACTAATAACGACATGACTGCTATACTTTCACATATGACAGCAGCTTCATCTACTACAGCTGGTAAAAGAAAGATCTTCTCTCCCCAATATTGACATGAAAAGGGAGTGTCCTCATCACCATTACAAACAAATGGTTCTCTAAAAAATGGACCAACACTATGCTTTTGATTTGGAATTTGAACTATTTCAGAAACATCAGGGAAGCCTAGATACTTGCATATGACACGACCATTAGTTATTTTAAATTCGCTTGGGCGACCATCAACATGTCCCCATCTCCCATCCCAGAACATTTCAACTCTTCCTTCAAATGACCCTCTACCTCCAACTAATCGAACTGCTCTTTCTATAAATGCATGGTAATAATAACTGTCATGTTTACTGCTAATTACCTGGGCAGTATCGAATATTGATATTCAGTATATCATATAGAGATATTGTGTTTCTCTGGCCCATAACAATATCTGGACCAGGTACTGCTTTAATTGTAGGTTGGCCATTAATACTGAAAGCTGTACTGCCATAATGCATCACTGAAAGATAATCATATGGTATGTTCATATTGTCTGTATAGTCTTCGTCAAAATTATGAGTGAAGTTTGGATCTATACATTAAAAATGTTACAAATGCATGTTGTCTATGTATTTACGTATATTATCATTGATTATGTGGACATATTTATCTCTATTGAATCGTGATTGTTCATGACCTCGTCCAAGTGCATGCATTATCTCATGAGCAGGGATAGCTCCCCTGCAACCTCTTCCTAATGAGATTTCCTGAGGTCTAGCATATCCTTCTGGTAGTTTACCAATATATGACCAACAACTGAAGTTAAAGGTTTGATATTATCATTATTAGTGACACAATAGGCTAGCTTACCCAGTTTTACTGGCAAAGTCAATATAGTCTTTGTGATAACTTTTCTTTGGAACAAATTTCAGACAAGTAAATTTATGAAACAATTCAATTGAATATTCCAAAGCTTTATATTCCTCAGTATCTGCAATATCAAAATAAAACATTACAAAGGTATACAATATCTTACTAACAAAGTGGATAATTAGAATCAGAAACTGTGTATGGAATAGTCCTTGACCATTTGCCATGGCCACGAACCCATGATTCTGAATTGACCAACTCCTTCCATCCACCACGCTTGAATATTGCAGCTTCCTCTGGAGTCACTTTGATGTCCCCCTCTATGATGTCTTCACCACTGCCATACTCTCCACCTATCATTATTGTAGCCTACAAAGTTAATATACTTTAACTTTACTGTCATCAATTGGCACATCTGATTCTTCATCTTTTGTTACTGCAATAACTTATCATTATAAGTCAGAGTAAAGGCACACATACCATCATTCAACTCTTTTGCAGGTGTATCATTTTTGTTGTATTTTTTAACTCTTTCTTTTTCTTCCATATAATCAATAACATCTTTGTCTTTTTTCATTACTGATTTATTATCACCAAAGAGCAACTGCCTCTCTTCCTTGTTGACTCCAACTTCTTTTTGTGCATTTTCTATTCAAAAAATAACAACATTTTTTACTTTCTACAATTTACTTACTATCACCTTCAGGTGCATGACCATCCTTGCCATTCAATGGAACTGTAATGGATTGAAAAGGTCAATAAATCTGATAGGAATTTTTACCTGCAGGGCTACACTGCACTTGAATGGCAGCAAATAAAAGAACAAGTAGAGTGAGGCTGTTCATTGTTGTACCAGCAGATACAATTGAATTCTGGCTTTGAAGAGCATTCCTTTATATAAGGTTTACTCTGTCATACAGGAAGTGTAATTTATAATGGCTGAAGTAGTGTGGCTTTGTTTATTGTAGCTACTACAGGAAGTGGCTCTACCTTAAATTGATTATTAATTTATTTCTAAGTTATATTTCATAGGCAGTATCATTGACTGTTATTTTGGTTGTACTGCATAATATACTTTTATGAAAATAAAATATAAGTGGCATAAATATTAATTTATTTTAAATATAGCTCATTCTTCATTATAGATACTGTATCAATTAAACTCATTTTAGTTGTATATAGTGCTACTTTTGATAAGGCAGTAAATATTATATGGGAATTAGATCTATGTTGCCTGCAATTAGTTAATGTTTTAAAGATTGCTAGTATACCCTATAAATGTATATCCTATTACAGAACCAAAGTTATCTTTTATCGTGTGTTTGTAACAGTCACAGCAACCTTTAAAGTTCATAGAATTTTGATTGGAATTTCTCTGATAGCTAAACTGAACCCAGACTTAGGATAATTGGTGAATGCCAAGGAATCTAGTACATACCTGTGGTATTGAGTTATGTGTTTTAATGGGTTTCTGTAGAGCGTTAACACAGAAAGTGTTTAAGTACATAATTGTTATTATGTGGAGCATAAGTAAAAGAGAGAGTATGTTCAGAATCAAATCAAAGTCCCTGTACTATAATAGTAAACCAGATTTCACCAAAATTGAAAGGAGATAATTCTTCATTTTTTACATTTTCTAATGCATATAAATGTACTTATGCTGTGCAGTAAGCTTGAGAAAATTCCAATCAAATTTGAAATTTTTAAAAATTTTGAAGTTGTATTTGGTCGAATTTCATCAAAAATGAAAAGGAAACTATTCTCCACATATATAATTTTTTCTAATACATATACATGTACTTATGTTATGTAGAAAGTTTGAGCTCATTCTGATCAAGTTTGGATTTTTTTTTACAAATTTTTAAAGTTGCTCCAAAATAAGACCATTATTATGTTATTGTTCATTATTATTCATTTTCATTTCAATTATTATTTTTGACCTGCACTTATGTTTAATTTTTTGCCTTTCTATATCCTTGATCTAAGACTTAAAAGTATTATTGAATCATATTTTATATTTTTAATTTTGTATGTATTATTATGCCATTGTATAGTTAAAAGTTGAGATTGCACACACTAAAATTTACTTGGACTATTACTTAATTTGGTTTTAATTTCAAGTTTTGACTCAACAATATGTACTTCTGTCACTCTTGTTCACTCTATTCTAATTTTAATAATATTTACTGCATGAGATAATAACTGATCACTAAAATATCAAAATCAACTACATACTGAACTAAAGTCTATTACTAGCTAGAACAGTTCAACAACTACGAAATCTAATTAGTTTTTGTTCTTGATAATAAAACCACTTGCTGTCCATTATCCTATTAAAAGAAGGGAAATTGATGGCAATGGCCTTATTAAACTTACAGTGTCCAATTCAATTAACGCAGCGAACACTAACATCTTCACTGTGTTGACAGTTGTGTTCACCAATAGGGGTACTGAGACAATGAGTAATCTGTGCTTCTCCACCAGTACACCTTACATCATCCATCAATATTGGAAGAGTACCTTGCCCATAGCGAGCACGAGGATAGACCCTACTAGCTCTCCTGTATCCCAATTGATGGCAGGTAACATTTGCAGCTTTTATGTCAAAATAATCATCACAGACGGTTCCCCAATCACCTTCAGCAAACACTTCCAAGCGACCATAGGCAACACTACTGGTAACTCTACCACCAACAAGACGAGCATTTTCTATAAACATGAAGGACTAACAATGATATTATTATTTTTAATTGATAGACTCACTCCGGCACGTTACACCAGCATCTTCATAATGACCACAGTTATGAGTACCAATAGTCCTCATGGGACATGCAAAAGGACTGTACTCATTACCAGTACAACGTAGGTCATCCATTACTATCGGACCAGTTCCTCGCCCAAATCGAGCTCTGTAGTATGTTGCAGCAACATCAGGGAAACCCATATACTTGCAAATAACACGACCATCATTTGTACCAAATAAATCATCACAGACAGTTCCCCACTGTCCATTCCAGAACACTTCAACTCTTCCTTCATATGACCCTCTTCCTCCAACTAGTCGAAGTGCTCTTTCTATTGATGTTAATGTTCAAAATTAGCTACAAAAATGTTTGTATAATTACCTGGGCAGTATCGAATATTAATGTGTTGCACATCGTACATTGACAATCTGTTTCTCTGGCCAATAGTGATGAATGAACTAGGTCTTGGTACAATTGTAGGTTGACCATTTCTACTGAAAGCAGTTCTACCATAGTGCATCAATGAAAGGTAATCATATGGTAGAGATTGGCTGTCAGAAGTAGTTTGTATGCGAAAATTTGATGCATATCCGTTTCCTATGGTAGTAACAGTTTATTAAATAATATTTAAATCAGTGCATGTACTTATATTCCCAGTTATTATTCTGACATATCTGTCTCTGTCAGCACGTGATTGTTCATGAAACCGTCCAAGTGCATGCATTATCTCATGGGCAGGGACTGCAAGATGGCAACCACTAGCTAGTGAGACTAGCTGAGGCCTAGCATAACTTCCTGGACGTTTACCAAGATAAGACCAACAACTGGAATCATGATTGAAAATTTTAAAACTAGTTTAAACAGAGCTTACCCTCCTCGACTGACAAATTGGATGTAATCACGATTATAGCTTAGCTTTGGAGTAAATCTTAAGCATGTAAGATCATGGAACATTTTGATTGAATTTGTCAAAGCATTCCTTTCTCTAGTAGCTACCACATCAAAAATAAATTTTTAAAATGATTGAAAATACTAACCAACTCCACTAATTGTGTATGGAATAGTCCTTGACCATTTGCCATGGTTACGGAGCCATGCTTCTGAATTGACTAACTCGTCCCATCCACCACGTTTGAATATTGCAGCTTGCTCTGGAGTCAGTTTAATGTCTCCTTCTATAACATCTTTGCCACTACCATACTCTACACCTATAAAGTAATGTACATTAGGCTGCTATAGAGATAAGTAGCATACTTATATTAGCTGGTGTTTCTGTAACTTCTTCTGTCACTGTAAAAGATTATAAAATGAATACTATGATACATTACAGACTGTTTTGACTCACAATCTGAAATCTCAGTATTGAATTTATCCTTTTCATCATCTTTATCTTTGTTGCTGTTTTTGTCATCTTCATCTTTATTGTCTGTGTTCTTGTCATGGTAATCACCTAGATCTAGATTGTCATCTAGATTAACCTCATCCTTCTTGTCATCATCTAGGTTGTCCTTTTCATCTTCAGTATATTCTTCACCAAGGTCTAGATTGCTTTCTTCCTTGTCTTCTGGCTTGACTGCTAACGGATGATCTATTACATAAAAAGAACTAATTCATTTTATAGGACCTCTTTATAACTTACCATCATTTTTGTCTGGCCCAGGCCCACTCCAGCTGCGTTTAGAAGCTTAAAATAATCATAAGGAACATGAATGCATTTGAGTTGCAATGTATTAAACTTTACTTGGGCTACAGTTAGCAGTTGCAAGCAAAAGGACAAGCAGAGCTAGCCGAATCATGATTGCACAGTGCAAGTAGTGAAGTATAGACTAGATTCACTACTTTTATAGTAACTGGTGGCTAGTGGAGTGACATCATATCTAGAGTATAAGAGTTAGAATAGTTGTAGAACTGTTTGCATAGTCTGCAGACCCACACAAATTATGTCATTTCAAGATATTGCTCTTTTTCCAGTTCACTTCCTGAAGATCTTTATTGTTATTGTAACAAACTCATACTAGCTTAAATTGTAGTGGAGTATTATGCCTTGATTAATCTGCCTTATGAATAAGAAAGAAATAGTCTTTTTGTTGTATGTAAATCTAAATCTTTTGTGTTGATTTAACCTTTTCTAATAGTGTAACTTTCCTTGTACCCTCCCTTACCTACTTGAGGTGACTAATGTTTTTAGTCATGTTTCTAATATTGGAGGTAACTAATGTTTTTAGTCATGTTTCTAATATTGGAGCTAATTATTTAATCAGTAATCTGATCTTGAGATGATCAGAAAATGGCCACCCTAGCTAGCTTGTTAACCTAACATTAGAATGTACAACATTACGAGGCTTCATCCCTTGCTGCACCCTTAGTTACATTAGGCATACAAAACAAGCAGAGTTATATATCAGAGTAGGCTTCACCCAATGCATTGTTCCACTCAGTCTGGGGGAACCTTTGATGTGTTTATGCCTACTAGCTCAACAGACGTGTGTGTCTTGTTAATTAATTTTTGTGTGTAGGCAGTTGTTTGTAATGCTAGTGCATAGTATGAACCATATGTTGGTATGCATTTTACCGTTAATAATTGTCATTTCTACTTACTACTTGTTCATTAGTAACAATATCTTACTATTTACTACAGCTATAGCTTACATTAGGTTGCTACTAATAAATGGAATATATTTTGTTGTTTTACAAAGGCCTGATATACTGGAGATGCACATAATCTTGATAAGAAAATGCTATTTCAGATTTTGCTGTACATGCACATCAATAAATTTATTATCACTGACTTAGTGGTCCCTCCTCTCATGCACAATGTTGCTAGTAGTAATTGTATAGTGGTAGTTATATGGAGATAATGTTCATGCCAGTGATTCTTTGATGGAAGTGGTAATATAGAACAACTGATCGTAATTACATTGCTATACATCTATAGACTAGTTGATCAATAGTACTAAAAGCTACACCTGGCCTGCCTTATATGGAGTATATGGACATGTATTTTATACGGAAAGTTGTAATCTTAATGAATTTTAACAGTAACATGGCAAGTAGGAGGATGTATATTAAATTTACAATAGTTATGATTTAATTATTAGACCTACTACATACTACACATAGTTATTGGCCCGCCCAGCTTTGCGTAGGTAAGGACTAGGTACTACTACTCTAGGCTGTCGCTATAATAAATTTGTGTAGTTTGTTGTAGGTCTACAAAAATTGCATAGTAGTAGTAAATTTGTGAATTCATTATACATTCCACATTAAGGTTGTAGCCATGTCGTTGCCAAATATAGTCTAAGGCTATCATAATATTGTAATATGCCCTAGAGTCGTGTTTTTGATTGCATTAATTAAGATTTTATACATGCATCTCCCAACTTTATGTAGTAGCCTGGGAAGTACTCAACCATGACTGAATGGCCCATGCCCATTTTCAATTAATAATACAAAATATTGTATAATGTTGAAGATTATACTTTAGTGTGCACAACTATTACATTGAAAGTAGAGGATTTTCGATATACTCTGTGTAATGCTTAGATTAGATCTACATTCACATGTACATGTATGATCTGTATGTGAAAATAGACTACTGCATTACAGCTAGCATAGCGTAGCTTTAGTGGTCTGACCTCATTTAATTTATGCGCACGTAATCAGCATGAATATAATTAACCTAACCACGGAATGTAAATTTTATTTGCTTGTATTAACATATTCCTTTTTTGACAAAAATTCTAGATGCTTAACACTGATACAAAATTGCCTCTTAGAATATATGTGTATCATTATGCTGTTTTAAATGTGAATGGTTCTTTGTATAGCACATAATATCTCTCCTAATGTTAACGGATTGTAGTTAAAATAAATGACACTAAGAACATTACAAGTTACAACAAAGCACACTATAAACTATTATTAATTCTCCACAAGGTGTTCTATAACTAAATATAACTTGTTTCTTCATGTTGCAGCATTCCTTCAGCATACTCACACAATAGCTCGTGACAATAAATATATCTTTCCTAAAATAACATGTATTTATATAATAATTATTTTTATTGGGACGCTTTATTACCAAACAATCAACCAGTCCTGGTCTCTGGCTCCTTGCTTTCCTAATGAATTGAAATATATCAGACACTCCTTCAGTTTTAGCTCTTTCTATTTGAGAATAAGCTGTCAGAAATGTACCACTACAACCAACACCATCACTATTATAAAGAAGTAATAATAATATCAAGTTTAGCGTGCTCATAGTTCTGCTAGCACTTACTTGCATGCAACGACAATTGGCCTGTTACCATTTTCAAGCTGATTCTTTGCCAGTATACCAAATAAAGGCTTGAGGTAAGGTTTATTATTAGTATTAATATTCCACTTTTTATAATAGTATAATGTCACATTATGAGCTGATTCATTCTATAAGGATTAACAAACTTAGGAAGAGTCGGATATGTAATTTAATACCTTGAATTTGAGTTCTAACGTTATAATTTGATAGTCATTTTCTTCTTTTTCTAAACTATGCTCTACAGTCAAGTCTTGGTACTTTTTCGCTTGACCCATTTGTGGTGGCCAAAATTGAGGGATCTATACAAAATTAGTATTAGTTTAAGATTATGTCTTTTGTAATTGAATTCACCTCATCAGTTCCTACTGGATGAAGTAAAACAATCACGCTACAGTTCTGTTGATGTATCATGGTCCAAAAATCAGTCTGAGTATTTTGTAATGGTATTTGTGTCACTATGAACCAATTTCCTGTTTTGTATCCCTAAGAATGCATGTATTTTAATTATATTCATGACTATTAATACCTCAACCCAGGAAGCATTAATGTAATCATTTTCTGTGTCTCTTAATATTACACGAGTGTGGTTATCTATAATTAAAATAACACTTAGGATTCATTGTCAACACCTCTTACAAGGTAAATTATAGTCAAATCTGTTTCTTTCTTGATTATCCATTGCAATGGAGCAGCTAATAGTACTTGTAGTATCTGACAGTTCCTTCAATAACTGTCATTAAAGGATACATTGTACACATGGTTCAATTATATGTAGACTATACCTCAAACTCTTTTTGAAACTCACACTCCTCATCCTCGTTCTTCTTTCTTAACTCTTTGATCCTGTATTGAGCCTTTTCAATTGCGAATGAAGTTTCACCACATTGAATGTGATCTGCTAAGGACTTGTGAATATAAATGTACTGCTCCTGTTATATTGAATGCAATACACAGCATCAAAAGTCATAGTACCTTAGTTTGAACCAGTGTGATCCTTTGGTGTCTAATTTGTAACAAAAAATCATAAATATTAAGAGTATTTTCTTGTTTCATTCTCTGCAGCATGGTATCTATTACAATAAAGGTACCAGTCCTTCCTACTCCAGCACTACAGTGTACTACTAGTGGAGGTCCTTTAGGAGGATGAGTCAAACGAATATTATCAATGAAAGATATCATGACTATCTTATCAACTGGTACACCATGATCAGGCCATACGGTCAACTGATAGTGTGTGATAGCCATTGACATAGAATCATCATCCTATACTTAATAATGAAATATTAGGCTGATATACGAATGGCTTACCTTTGTGATCAGTAGTTGTCTTTTTGTGTACCAACAGTGTACCTCTTCAGTCTTTGTTCTTATTATTATTCCATCGTCTAGCTTATGTGTCTCGTTCACCTTCTCTGGCCAATACTGAGCACACTTATTCTAAAGTGGTAACTTGTAATACTCTTATAATTCATTTGATTTTGGTACAAATACATTGGCTCAAAATGCTTATAACTTGAAAATTATTTGTCAAAATCACCTCAAACTTTCTAAATGGCATAAGGACATCAATATGTATCAGAAAATGTAATAAAAATTTGGGGTGATTTCAGAGCCATTTTTTGGAAAAAACCATGGGCTATAGCCTTGGGTATTTTTTAAAAATTGGCCCGTTTTTAAAAATGGCCACAACTCAAAAATTTGAGCTCGGAATCAGCTCAAACTTTCTACATAGCATAAGGACATCAATATGTATTAGAAAATGTAATAAAGTTTTGGGGTGATTTTGGAGCCATTTTTTGGAAAAAACCATGGGCTATAGCCTTGGGTATTTTTCAAAAATTTGCCCATTTTTTAAAATGGTCATAACTCAAAAATTTTTTGTCGGAATTACCTCAAACTTTCTACATAGCATAAGGACATCAATATGTATCAGAAAATGTAATAAAAATTTGGGGTGATTTCGGAGCCACTTTTTGGAAAAAACCATGGACTATAGCCTTGGGTATTTTTCAAAAATTGGCCCATTTTTTAAAATGGTCATAACTCGAAAATTCTTTGTCGAAATCACCTCAAACTTTCTACATAGCATAAGGACATCAATATGTATCAGAAAATGTAATAAAAATTTGAAGTGATTTTGGAGCTATTTTTTAGAAAAAACCATGGGCTACTATAGCCTTGGGTATTTTTCAAAAATTGGCCCTTTTTTTTAAATGGCCATAACTCAAAAATTTGAGCTCGGAATTTGCTCAAACTTTCTACATAGCATAAGGACATCAATATGTATTAGAAAATGTAATAAAAATTTGGGGTGATTTTGGAGCCATTTTTTGGAAAAAACCATGGGCTATAATCTTTGCTTTTTATCAAAAGTTAGACCAGTTTGTACAGCAGATAACTATATCTTACAATATTGCCTTCAAATACTTTTGTCAACATGACAAT